CGGAGTATCCAGCAAGCAGCAAGACCAGGACTAGCACGAGGAACTAAAGGCACCAAAGGTGGCAGCATTACCGAGATAAACTACGCAGACAGAACTACGCAGGCAGATCGACGCAGACTTCTTGACTAAGGCTCACTCCCCAAGTAAGAAAAACCAATCCTTCAACATATCCAGACCAGAACATCATAGTCGTCAATTTTTTTAAGATTTTATTTATCAATTAGAATATAAATAATCATATTTTGTCAATTTGAATTTTTTTAAGTATTAGGATTTTGGTTGTACTTGGGTAACATTTTTGTAACAATGGGCAGTTCGATTATTATTTACACCACTATTATTTTGTTGACTTCACATATCACACGTCAAGGTTAAGTTCAAGTGAATATTGTTAACTAAGCATTTTTTAACAAAAACAATTACGAGCATTGCCAGGTCCGGATTTCATAACAGAAATATTTCAAAGTAAAATAATTGTAAAGATTAGTAACAAAGTCATCAAGTAATAATATAAAAGACTCAGAAAGTAATATTGAAAAGTTAGTGACTCTAGTTAATGACTTTGAGTATCCTATCAAGAGTAAATTTACATCTGTTGATCTTTTTATAACGTCGCGATTTTTTAATGTGGCTTTAAATGCCAGTATAAAGGCGAAATGCCTAAAGGATTTAGTGTAGCCATTGTGCCACTTTTCAGGCGATAGTGCCAATCCTTCATTTCAGATAGCCTAATATTAAATTGTTCAAAAGAAACAATAGGTATCTGACAAATAAATAATTAATAAGGGTAGGAAAAACCCGAATGGAGACTCGTAAGGTTAGTGAAAACCGCGAGATCTTAAATATATTTGACGTAATTTTGATGACTTATAAGAGACTCATGAATCCGCGGAAACGAGTCAATAAAATCTTTCAAATAAATTTATTTTGTTATTTTCATTTTGGGACCAAAACACGCTCGTTGATTTTATCGATTTTTATTAAATCTTGCATGAGAATAAATTCCAACTATTAATGTTGAGTATAGAAATAATTTTAAAATATTACATAAGAATAAAATTTTAATCTTGAATATAATATAAAATGAACTTTAAAGTTTTGTGTTAAAATAATTGAACTTGAATATGCAAATTTCAATAATAAATTTAATCAACTGCCCATACCACAAAATGTTACAGAAATGAAGGGGATAAATTTAAATTAATGTCAATAATAGCAATGTAACTATCCCCATAGAATAGAATTATGAATTATAAATTAGAAAAAAAAAATAGGAAAATAGAAAAAGTCCATGTTTGAATTATTGATACGAAATGATTTCAAAATTCAATTCAATTTATTGGCGTTATATTGAACAAGTATAATAAACTTTATTTTGAAAATTAGTAAGCGATTGAGTAAATTTGTTTTCTATTATTTGCGTAAATTGAAAATAATAATATTTTTCCTAATTGAAATTTTTATAATTGTTCACACTAATTTCGATTATTTGCGTTAATAGCATAACAAGCTTTATCATATTTCTATTTTGAAATTTGAGTAAAGAAATATCACGTAACATTCGGATTCAAACCTTAACAAGGCACGCAATACAAATTTGCTTATGATGTATTAACTTCGTTAATGTTATGAATCTTGATGTATTTTACAAAACTTTATTTTACTATTATTTAAAATTTTTAAGAATTAATTGGCGTCATATCTTATTCAATTAAAATTCCATTAATTTGATATTTTAATTTTGCTTTTTGAATAATTTTACCGTAATTTATTTTGTTTCATTTGACATATTAATATTTTCATAGTTGTATGTTTATTTTTGATAATAATTATGAATAACTATGAATTTCGAGCGTTCAAAGTAGATAAAATAAAACCAATTAATTTCTTTGAAATTAATTTCTATCCACTCAATTATTTATTCACTTAAAACAAAAGTAATTTTGATGAGTAGTATCAATAATTCACATGGAAACAAAATATAGAAAAAATATATATAATAATATATTTGTATCAAATATTCAGAAATTGAAAGGCCACTCAATTTTTTATTAATACTGACATTCTAAATATAATAATTTCCAATTAATATTTTTATATTGTATATTTTATAGTAAAAATAGAATGTTCAGAATAGAATTTGAAAAATAAATGTTATAAAATTAAGAGGGCCCAGGAATGTATTAATGTAGAAGTATGTGACAAAACACAATTATTAGATTACAAGACGAATTATCACTATCTTCCATTTCTATCTAGATGTAATGCATCAGAATGGCAACAAGTGTGCAAGCTATTTTTTAAAAATCTTCGAAGATTGATACAAGATTCTCATACAGCTTCAGTAAGAAATAATCGCGCGCGCATTTTAAACACCCTATTAAAAATATTGAACTGAATCTGATGCAGAGTATTTTGATCATTATTTGAAATTCGAAGCAAATAAATAAATTAGCATACAAAATTCAACAATTTATGATAGTATTAAATTTGTGAAAAAAAGAGATCTTGCACCTTGTTAATATTCTTATGCAAATAGAAAAATTGTTTTTATTATTTTATCGAAACTAATTAATGATAGTGATAATGGATCAAATAATTAATTTTTAAATTTTTAGAAGTTTTATTGATGTATATAAATCAAATAGGTCACAACTTCGTTTTTGTCTACTAATCATTTTAAAGCAGTCACACAAATTATGCAACTATGCGAATTCATATGGTATTAGATTGCATATAAGAATATCCAAAAAATGTAACTAATTATTGTTTATAATATTTTGCTGTATTATCAAAATCCTACTTTTGAAATTAAACAAGCTGTTGAAACTAAATCAAAATAATTTTAATGAACTATTAAAAATCACAATATGCAGCAAAGTATTACAACAATATTAGATTTTTTTTTATGTTAATTTTTTTTTACCAATATTATCATCAGAATTGTTAACTAATTATTATATTGCAGACATACTACAAAATTTTATACTTTTACTTTTTCATATTTTGCAAATAGTTTTCAAATTTTTCTCTCTTTTCCTATAATCAATTGTACCATAGATTACTATTTTTCATTTATCGAGGACGATAAATTGTTTTAGAGGGGAGGAACCCCAAATAAATTGTAATTTCTTTGTTTTTTTTTTCTCTTTTCAATTGTTAGAGGACTAACAATATTCTTTAGGGGTGGCGTGTTCTGTAATAACACGATCAAACGTGCTTTTAATAAAAATATGAATTCATTGTTCAATGTTGATCAAAGTCCAAGATCTTTTACATGAACGCGGAAGACGCCATTCCTAGAATTGACACGTACAATGCATAATATATAGAGTCAGAATTATTTGTATTAACCAGTGATGTCTTAGTCAAGACTCTAGCCAGTGATGTCTTAGCCAAAAGTCTAGCCATAATGTCTTAGAGTAGTCTTAGATAATCTAAGTGGAGATTATGTCTGTGAAGTAAAGCAATAAATACAGTGTAAAACATTACAAGTGGATTTTTATTGGAACCAGAAGTTTGTCTCTTCCAGCGAATACCTTATTGAAAGGACCCATTAGTCTGAAGAGAACTCTCACCAAACCAGTCGATTAAACATTATTCCTACTGCTCGACCCAAGGCATCAGGAAAGGTTGGACGGACATTATTACCGTATCGCATAAAGAAGCTACTACAGTAACCAATATCCCGGACTGTGGATCTTTCAACAAACGAACATCAACCCACACCTAAACACCTCCCACCAACCCCTTATATCATTTCAATATATATATATATATATATATATATATATATATATATATATATATTACTATTAACAAAGCCTAATAATCGGGCATAACATCAATAAAAAACATGAATTTCTTTCAAAAATTTATTTTAAATCCATACGTTTCGGCTATGATCCTAGCCTTCATTCAGTGGAAACTAAAAATAAAATTAAAAACTAAAACAATTGAATTGGAGTGAAAAGAAAAAATAAAATAGTAAATAGTACTTACAATTAGTTAATCTTAGTGTTAAACTAAAAATTTTAATAATCCATGGTATCAGGATATGGTAATGCTCTACTCTACACTATGTAAGTATAAATATGGTCTGCAAGTACAGTTTTGAATTGTCTCGGATTTTTTGATTTGTTTTTATGTTGTAACCATATTTATACTTTAAAACACAATATGGACTTTTCTAACCCGACTGTACTACAATTCAAACAGAATTTATTTAAACGAAGAATTATTAACGTAACGTGTGTCGTTATATAATATTGTTACGGTTATTGGTGAGTACCCACACACAGATGTAAAATAACTCATAACTACCCCTCTCCTTATATGCGTATAGAACCATCTCTGAGTGTGTCAGAAGGCCCGCGGGGTTGACAGTCTTGAAGTAGTTGTTGTCGGGGGTGTGAGTTGTCTGCAGGGCTTCAGAGTCGGCAAGCATGCGGTCCAAAAGTGTTAATAAAATGTTTTAATGTAAGCCTAGAGGACGTCATAGGGGGACAGCGTTTCGGAAGCTGTCCCCAAACCGAAAGTACACTTTGTATAGTTTGTATAGTTTATAGGAGTGAAGTATGTAACTATTAGTGTGTGAAGTGAATCGGACCAGATGCTTGGACATGTAATGGATACTGGTTGCGCCGTGGTTAAAGATAAGGTTAGAATAAGTTGCATGTTAGAATAAGAAAGATTTTAGAATAAGTGATTGTTATGTGTAAATATAGGTTAGTTATAATTAAGTCGCGAACAAACGCCTTTTCATTAGTACTATTTAAAGTAATCAGTCTCTTGCAGGATCGCGACATCACGGTAAAGTTGTAGAAAGATCGCGAATAATAACAATAATAACAAATTAAAGCATGATTAACGAGAATAGTAACAAATGAAAGGGGAATTCATAACAATATTATTTATAATTATTACAAATGGGTGGATATCCCTAACATATATATATATATATATATATATATATATATTATAATTTTTGCTTAACTTACCGCACGACACATATCGTCATCATCGACATTGCAAATGATGCCATTGCAAACTACAACGTATCCTTCCAAATTTAATTTAAGTTTTTCGGCTCGTTCAATATCGTTCTTTGATTTTAGATCTTGCAATTCCCAAGCAAGATAGGCTCCGCAGGCATATAAACAATAAATCGCTCCCTAAAGCAATAATTCAATAGTTAATCATATAATAAACTAAACTAATTATGTTAAGCATCACATGGCATTTAAGTTTATATTTGAAATGATAAAATACGAATAATGAAAGTTATACTATTTATAAAAATATATTTGAAAACATATTTAATATTCTTTGAATATCTTATTACAGTACGGAAAGTTCCAGCAATTTGCCTTGAAGCACAATGACATTTGCAACTAGCTTTTCTTGTATTTGATTTTTTTTTTATTTAGGTAAAAAATAAATACACGTGATAATTTGTTTCTTTTGTCAACCCCTTTTAAGTCTAACAAAATCATCCTGACAAATTGTCAAGATCAGTTAAAGATTTTTTTGCAAAAGTGTGGATGAAATTTTTTGCACTTTTCTACACTAGTTCTCAAAAAACTGCTGGGCCAATCATCTCAGAAAATAGTCATTACCTTTTTTGAGTCTGTGCAGCCTTTTTTGAGAAAACATAGATGTATGGTCAAAATTTCGTTCAGATACACATATACATACATTTTCTAATTTTGTTCTCAAATGTTTCAGAAGACTTAAAATGTGGAGAAACTCAAAATTTGCAAATCGGACATTTTAAAGAAAACAAACTTCTTCGAAATTGAAAATGCTTCGAAAAGAAAAACAATATCATTCACTATTTAGAAATTAATTAATAATTTTGAATCATATATTGTAATTAACAAACCTCAATAGGAAAGCTATTGCCTACGATACCATTCCGAAAGGCGTTTATTTCTTCTGAAAAATGAGGCCATAAATTCAAATAATTCAGATTGTGCAACTTATAAAATATGCAAATTTTCTTCACGGAATTAACAACGGAAGGACTATCCTCGTTCATGGACATCTCAGTTTCCGAATCGACTTCCTAAATATGATAAAAGAAAATGATCTAGTAAACACAATGATAATAATGATAATAATAAAAATAAATGTAATTTTATTACACTTTTAATAAGTCTAAAAAATAACTTAACAATAATTTGTAAAATAAGGACTTTGATAAACCTTTGAAATTATTTAAAAATCAATAGATGTATTTATGATTAATTTTTCTGTTTTTATTTTATAATCATTCTATTTCTGCCTGAAACAATACTTAGATTATATAATATTACTATTCATAGGTGCTGTTAAAGATTCATAACAAATGTATTATTGCATATTTTATGATATAATAAATCAATGTATACAGATGGCCATAAGCTGCGTAACCTTTGCCATCCGTTTTAACTATAAAAAAATTGCTCATTGCAATAATAATACTCTGAAAATTTTTAGATTTTCGTCATTGATTAAAACTTATTATAGTGGATATAAAGCCTCTGTACTTAATATAAAGCATCTACCATATAATGGTTCAATGACTGAGATGATTCAGGTATGTTACAAAAAATCTATTACAATGTATAGAATTTTTCAAAAGCAAAACACATAAGATTTTTTAAAAGTCAAATAAACAACAATATATAGTCCTTACCCCATCCATAATCCTTTGCCACAATTCTGATGTGTGTAAATACTTCTGGGCACATTCATTGACAATTGAAGATAGTACAACATCACATTTCACAGAAATGCTGACTCTTTTACGAAGGCAATCGAGAGTAATGCTGCAGATTTGCAAGAGTAGAGTATCTGAATATTTTTGTGTAATGTCCTTTAATTCCTCTAATAATTTTTCTAAATACTGTAAACACACATCATTTATTGAGAAATCTTAATATTTAATTAAAATAAATATAGTAATAGTATTAATGATAATTAGATGTGTAAAGGGGGTTAAAATATAAAATATAAAACACAGATATCTAATAGGTATCTCTATATTTATTATTAATCACACACACACACACACACACACCTATATATATATATATATATATATATATATATATATATATATATAAATCAGGGTGGTCTTTAATATTACAAATAGTAATGACTATTTTCTGAGATGATTGGCCCAGCAGTTATATATATATATATAAATCAGGGTGGTCTTTAATATGTACATTTTCGAATTTCCTTGCTCCCAAGGCTCCAATGGTTCCAAATTGATAAAAAACAATCCTCTGAAAGTTTTAGCTCTTAATTCTATACAGTTTTAGAATCTTTCGTTCGTTATATTTCTTTTCTGTTTCTCTTTCCCCTTTCGTTTCTCACCACCCGCTCCCACTCCTTCATTACACGTGCGTGACTACACTTGCGTTGTAACCTTGATCAGTGTCCATAATGCACCGCTATTAATAATATAAAATATAGGAGGGCAATATGTGCTCCTTCAATTTCTCGTTTGTTAATATATTAGTATTTTATTATTTTACACAAATTTAGTGTTCAATCAATTTTACATCATAATTATTTTTTTCTGTTGTCTTTCCTGGTTTGGTATGCATAATTTCCTCCTTTTTATATATTTATATTTATCATCAACTTTGTATTTATGTTATATGTTTTTATGTTTTTTAGATTACTGAATGATGACACACAGTGGCGGATCCAGCTTCGGCGTCAGGGGGGGGGGGTCATAATTAAAAAGTTTTTATAGTCCTCAATGAGTATGTAACAAATATATATATATATATATATATATATATATATATGTATATATATATATATATATATATATATAAGATAGAGCGGGGCTTAAATATTTGCGGGTAAAAAGATCCACCACCGATATCTCAAAAACAAGTAAAGTTATTTCTTAAGGATTTCTTAACAACAATATTTGAAAGTAGAGGAAAAAATGTACAACTAGCCATCACCCTGATTCTTACGACGTTAAAAAAAGCATTTTTACAAAAGATAAATGAAATAAATCTTTATTTCAACTCTGCTGGTGAATATTTTGGACAAAATATCAAATCAAGAGACAAGATATTGGACAAAGTATCAAATACAGAGTTATCTCTGTAAAAAATGTATCTATAAAATTCATATTTTTTATTGGTTGAGTAATGTAGCTATTATTTCGTTAAATCCTTTTAAAATTAAAAATAGTAAATTGGATTGTTTGTCCTCTCGCCGTCCGATTTTACCACGCCTTTGGGGTAAAAAAAGACCAAGTGACATATTTTTAAAAAACAGCAAAAAAAACGCATTTTTACAGTGATGAATTAACTGGAGGTTGTACTAAAATATGGTCAGATGTTTTTTAGTTTATTGTGTCTTATTGGTTGTTATGTTTTTCGTTTAGTTTTCACAATATAATTGCTCAAATTTACTTAGCCTTACGCTTACCTTATGTATGTGTATTTTTTAAAAAACAATCTGCGTCTTTGACGTGAGTCAAAATTTGATCTTTCCTCGATGTTTTCTCGTCTAAACCGATGTTAAAATTTAAAAACTATAAAATGAAACTGGATAAGCGCTTGCGTTGATTAGTTTTTTGAGACAATTGGTCGATCCGTTTCTTTACTATTGGCAGAAAAGTGCAAAAATTATCGTCCATGTTTTTGTAAAAAATTCTTAACCGTTTTTTATTCGATTGATATCATTTGGAAATAAATAGTTTCTTTCGAAGATCGGTCAAGTCGTTTCTTTTTCATAATAGATTGTCACATTTTTTGGCGATTTAAATGAAACTTTGCATGGCGATAAATTTTCTACTCTAAATGAACGTACTAAACTATAATAAGGCCTGCGACAAGTGGTTTTACTTATGATAATTAAAGTTTGGATTATTTGGCCGCGCTTTTAAAAAATTCACCGTGTGTATGTATTCGGCTTCGTATTTCGTATGTGTTCGTTTTCCATCAATGTGTAATATTCAAACCATTTTTTAACTAGTTTGTATTGGTATTTTGCCTTTAGGCAAGTTACATGAACTTCCCGAAATTTGTTAATAATCGACTTTCAGTAAAAAATAAATTAATTTATGAGAGATTCAAGGTATTCCCAGTGGATTTACAATATCACACATAATTGAAAACGAAGACATTAACTTGGAGTATTTTCTAAAGGCAAATTTTAAAAATTCAATAATTGTTATAATTGAACTAGTTGCCGTAGGATTTTAATGGTTTAGTATGTTCATTAAGACCAAGTACTCTATCGATAAACCAAGTAAATTAATTTTAACAAACGTCAAAAAAACTACTCATTTTCTCAAACTTTGATGAATTTTCAAAATTAAACTACTTGTCGTAAGGCCGTAATATTTCAATAAGTTGTATAAGATCATGATATATATCATCAAAAAAAGTTTCATAAAAATCGGCTCAAATATTTTTTTCAACGACGAAATACAAGCAAACGGCTCGGTAGATTTTCACCTAAAACTAATCAGTTTCATTCTCAACTAATATCTTTCGAACAGTTTTTAATTTTTTAAAATCGAATCGGTAGTTTGTGCTTAAATGTGGACGAAATGTTTAAATTTTTTTTCCAAATTTCAAAGAAACGGCTCGGCCGATTGTCGCACAAAACTGACAAGCGTTAGTCCTCATTTAGACACATCAAATGGTTTTTAAATTGCTGAAATCGGTCCAGACGTTTTTGAGCAATCGCCGATGAAAAGTCTAATTCTGACAAATCCCAAAAAAACGATACTAATTTTTGCAAACTTTGACGAATTTTTAAAGCTAAACGAGTTGTCGTGTGGCCGTATTTGTATGATCTAAAAGACTATGGTATCTACCCGCAAAAATTTTTTTCAACACTTCATTACAAGAAAACGGCCAGGCCGATCTCTACCAACAACTCATCAGCACGATTCCCAACCAATATCTTTCGAACGGTTTTTGAATTTTCAAAATCGATTCAGAACTGCGGGCTAAAACGTGCACAAAATTTTTTTCACTTTTCTGGTATTTACAAAGAAACGACTTGGCTGGTCGTCGCGCAAAATTGATAAACGCTTGTCCTCATCGCGATACATCGAATAGCTTTTAAATTTTTAAAATCGGTCCAGCCGTTTTTTTGAGAAAACGCCGATTTTCAGCAAAAAATCTGTTCACACACACACACACACATACTTTCTCCAAAGAACTTTCTGCTTGTTTTGACAAAATAATTGCTTTTAAAAAAAAATTTGGCTTATTTTTTTTCTAAACTTTTTTTTGTATATGGAAAATAATTCAGATTTTAATATTGATTCTGACTAAAGTTTAAAACTTATATACTTCAAATAAATAGTTTTAACTTTGCAATTCAGTTTAAATAATTCTTATAAATATCAGACATTGTTACAATATTTATAATAATCTATTTGAAAACATTTAATATTTCTCAAACATTTCGTTAAGGTACAAGAAGTTCCAGCAATTTGCCTCAAGGCAAGATGCCATACACCCCACTAGTTTATATATTGATTAAGTCGTCTATTTACAGATGTTAGCATTACTGAAAGTTCATGCATAAGGACCACTCACAATCAGTTTAATTTTTTGATTTTTGAATGAAATTTTGTTCCTGAACTGTAATAAAACATATATTCGCAATACGATTAGAAAATCCTTAAATTTTAGGGTTTTTGACTCCGTCATTCGTCTACAATCAGTTAAACATTCAAGTTATAAAATGTGTTTGGTAACAAAATACATAAATAAAATCATTATGAAGTAATTTTGTTGTTGAATTAGTGTTTTATCTAAGTCCTAAAACAGGCTTAGGGGGGGTCATGACCCCCGTGACCCCCCCCTGGATCCGCCACTGATGACACACATCAAGTGACGAAACGTTTAATAATTTTGTTATTTAATCTTTTTTTAATTCGTCGATTGGGCAGCAAAAATATTACAAACATATATGTATATATTAGAGATGGGCTTATTAGATCCGAAGCCGGATCGACTCGGATTTGACTCCGCTTCATGGTGGAGTTATATCCGCTAAACAACTCCACGACTCCGACAATTTCGAAACCAAAATACTCGAAACAATGTGTCAAATCCCATTGATTATTTGAAATAAAAATTTATGAATAATTATCAATAAAATAATTTTTCGAAAAAATTCACGAATAAATGACGGATTTTTAAATTTTTCGGTCGACCAGATGATCGACTCAGTGACTCGTATTTTTAGCAGTGTTGACCAAAGTAAAAACGCAAAACTTGAGAATCAAATTCAATTTAATGATTTCGTTTTGATTAGAAAATGATTGATTTTTTGGATCAATTTTATATAAAAATTATGTAGTAAACTTTGTAATAAAAGCAAAACATAATACTTCTGCTTTCAAAATTTTTCTTCTGCTATTTCCATTTGAAAATTAATATTATATCGCGTAGTTCGATTAGCATGTTATTATTTTTACACAATTGTATAATTGTGTAAAAGTAATAATATAATACAGAATATTTTTTACTGCTTAAATACTAATGATATCACTGATAAATTTTGTACTCTAAATTGTTGTTATTTCAGGCTATGGAAAAACCAGATTAAATAAATGTATTTCGTTTCGTACATTTTTCGGTATACTTACGGTCAAAGATTGTCGTAGTTAGAAATATGACCCCTTACTATTCAATAAATTATACATTTGAGCTATTCACACTTGAATACAATTTCATTGTTCTGTATCTTTAAAGTAACATTTATGTATTTTCTGGAAAATACACAATGGTATTTAATTTGACTTTTATACCTAAAAAAGGTCATAAAACTGCCTGCGAGACAAGAAAGTGACCGCTTCCTTCCCAACTCAAAAACGACAAAAACACTAAATGCCTGTACGAGTTAACAGATTTAATACCAGTTTAAGGAAGTCGGATATGACAAATCCTGTGAAACAACTCCACTCGGATTCACTCCGAGGGAGGAGTTGTATCGGAGTGATAACTCCGGAGTGAGTTACATATCTCTAATATATATATATATATATATATATATATATATATATATATATATATATATATATATATATATATACAACGTCTGTCGGGTCATCTAGTATATATATGCCAAATGTTTATTAACTTCGCATAGAGTAAGTAATATTACTTATGTAAAGATATGCAAAAATTTTCATTTTAAATTTTTTGACGAATGTTCTGAACATTTTGGCATATCTTAGAAACAAATGGATTTAGCAATGGATTTTTGATCGAGAGATTATTCCTGGTGCTAATTAGTTTTGGCAAAACCAGGTTCCGCCGTGTCGGCGATACAGAACTAAAAATGCAAAAAATAGCATTTTTTGAGAGAACGAAACATCTGATTTGAAGGATTAAAAAAAAATTATTTGTAATGACGAAATAAAAAATTTATCAAATTTTCACGAAGGCAGCGGTTTTCTGGATAGCAGGTAAAAGTTAAAAAATTTGGTGATCAAAAATTAATATTACAAATCTTATAATTGACTTATATAGGAATAGAATTATTGTTACTACATTCTGGGCTAGTAGATTAGTAGACCAGTAGACAAATAGAAAAATAGATAAGCGTATAGAAAGATATACAATTAGCCAGGTAGGTAGGTTGACAGATTGGCAGAAAATAGAAAGGTAATGATAGATAGTATAGCAACCAGAGAGGTAGAAAGGTAGACATAGAGACATGTAGGTCAGTGGGCAGTTAGGCAGGCATATAAACAAATAGGAAGACTGGTAGTAAGTAGAGTGTCAATCAGAAAATACGTGGACTGGTAGACTGGTGGACAAAAAATAATATATTTATGCATAGAAATTAAAAGTTATAAACACGTTTATTACATGAATTCCAAAAATCCACAAATAATTTATGATAGTTTAATAATTCAATTTTAAATAATAATTTTAAATCATTGATCAATTTTTATTAATCATTGGTTATTTTCATTTCTCGAATGTTTAATTACGGTGCAGGAGGTACCACCATTATTTCAAAAATAAAGTTTACGCTTATATAAATAATGATATATTTCAAACAAACTTATAATATCAGTAATTGAACTGAGTTAGTGCACAAACGTGAGCTTGTATGTCCTAAAAGCGCAGACCATCATCCCAATCTTTAATGAATTTTTAATTTCAACTACTTATGGTAAGACTATAATATTTTATGATACTCGTTTATTTAAACTATGATCGCCATTATATGTTTCACCAAAAACGCAAAATATCTTTCGAACCAATTTTGAATTTTCAAAATCGATTCAAAATGTTATGCAAAAACATGGATAAAACTTTTTGCACCTATTTGCTAATTCTAAAGGAAAGCTCGCTTTATTGTCTCGAAAAACTGACTAACGCGGGTGCTTATCGAAATAGTTTTTAAATTTTTTAAATCGGTTAAGCCATTTTTTCACTTATACTTTTTCCAAATTTGGTTACAAGCTATTAAAATTGGCTTGAAACATCAGGAGAACATAAAAATAAGGCCGATTTCTGTCAAAACCAAACCTTTCCTAACAATTTCAGTATTTCACACTTTGTATAATTAATAAAGACAATAAAATAAATAAAACTAATACTAACATGATCTACCCCTTGACTTGTGTAGTTTACCAACTCGAAATACTGCGGTATGGTTAACAAATTAATCATACTTTTCGTCACGGCTTTGAATCGAATCAAGAGCTTGGGCAATACTGGTATTAGATGTTCGGTCATGCTCAATTGATCTGCTTGCATTTGGTTTTTCTTCTTTATGTTTATTAACTGAGAATATGAAAATTAATATTAATTGCATGTATTTATTGTTGTCCTTATAAAAAATCGTGTCAACATAGTTCGAATTATCTAAATCTATTTTAAAGAGAACTGCAAGTAAAGCCTACTAAATACTACACAATATTACCGTTTTGTTGGTTGCTCTATCCCACGGATGTTCACAAGTTGTCGCAAGTCTTGCACACCAGGTCATGATTTCAATTAGGACTTCTTCTTCAGTTGAAGTCAAACATTGATCAGTATTATCAGCTCTTTCTGTAAGAAGATGAATCATTGATTCCCAATCTTGCATCACCGGGTGTTCCTCAAATAAGGCGTCCACTATATATGGAACATCATCTGGTCTCTAATCAAAAATATAAAAAGTTGTGACAGACAAGATAATCAGAAATATATTACCTATTTGTTATAATAAGTTTCAATAAGCTGACTTTTCTACTTACCTCCAATTTTGTGAAAAACTGTAAAAGATATCGAATCCATCGTATATTAGATTGAGCATCTCTTCGAGAATCCAAATTATTTTTAGACATGTTCTCTTGATCCACTTTCAGAATGCACGCGTTCAAAAATTTACCTGCGGCCAATGCAACCTTACGATTGGAAGAAAGTACTAATTTGGAAACACTTTGGATATCTTCTGGTGTAAATCGATCACGATATGACCTGACAGAAATTAGTTATATCAACGCTTCGGATATAAGGAATATTTATCAAGGCTGTAAAACAATATTGAATTAAATGACATAACAAGTCATTGCACTCAACGTTATAGTTAGTGGACAGTTATTTTTTTTATTGAAGTCAAATTTCTTTTATTTGACCTTTGAGCAATTTTTCCAAACATGTTAGTTATTATTGACAATTGATTTAAATAATACATATACTTTGATGAATTAATAATACATATACTTTGAAAAATAATGTCTTGTCATAAGACAGTAAGACCACGTTGTAGAAAACAATTAATTGTGAAGAAACTGCCCGGCCGATATTTTCCAAAAACTAAAACTGGTTCAAGACTGCTAAACGCGAGTCCCTATTAAATTACATCAAATGACTTTTAAATCTTTGAAACTGTTTTTGCCATTTTTCGAAAAACGTCAATCAAAGGTCAAATATCGGCTAACACACACATACATATTTTCTCTAAATTTAGTATCAAACAATTAATGATGACATCTCAATGAAATCATGTGACATATTAATACAAAGTAACACATGTGTTCACAATGTGCTAGACTGTGACCTAATTGAGTGATATTTTATTTACCTAAACATGTTGGTGATCACCTTAACAGCTTCCACTTGGTTGTTCAATTCCTCATCCCAAGCAAGGACAATTATTCTTTCTTTAAATTTAGTCGTAAATAAGTCTAATTTGGCTGCGAGTTGATTGTCTTCATATAATGGTGTTAATGCTTGTAAAGATTTTAAACGAACCACACCAACCTAAGGATTAATAATACTAATATAGAATAAGATGTCTTTGATTGTCGTCAAAGGGTTGCATAAACCCTTAGTGCAAATGGACTTCCCCACCTACTTCTACTAGGGTTCCTGCAATATAAGGTCCAAGTTAAGGGTTGAAAATGATAATTAAGAAATGTAACATGCTCCGAGGAGGTCGGTTGGGTCCAGGCGCGAGTCGCTGGACCCGCTTTCTGTATAGTGGTGTGTGTGTTGCACCAGGAGAGGAAACCCCGTTCCAGCAAAGGTCAGATGTATTGTTTATAAGCTATTCCCTCCGTTCCGATACCGATAATGTTAATCCGGTTAATCGGTTTATAGATTGTGAATTAGAGTTTAGGCAGAGGACATGACTGTACACAGGTACAGCCATATTCTCTCACCTGTAATACTAAAGTAATATTAAATAAGACAAAAGTACATTCTGTTTCATTCGCGTAGTTTGTTGGTTTAGTTTCCACAGGTAATTACAGGGTGTTTATAGACTGGAAGGAAGTCGGGTTAAGTAGTTGGAGTAAACCTTTCGGAATGGAGATGCAATGCTAAGGTATAATAATGGAAGTCGTTGCAACCCCGAGAAAGGGCATTATCAACCCTTCTTAACTCGTCACAATGATGAAAGCGCGTTCGATCCCCCATAAACTCCACTCACAAATTTTTAATATTTTTAATAAGGTAAACGTACACTATTCCGGGATAGTACATTATTACGGGAGTTTTTCATTTTGATCGCAAAATAAGAAAACAGTCGGTGAATAATAATTTTAAACAATACCACATAAACTATAATTCGAATCTCATCAAATAAGCACGATTTTCCATTTTAAATATTAGTTTTTAAAACCATATAGAGCTTCTGAACGCATCAGTCATAACCCGATCGCCATTACGTACAGTCCTGTTGTTAGTTAGGTTAATGTGACGCTACAATTGCTTAAGATTTTATGTGACACTGGTAAGCTTATTCAATATAAATTTGTGATATTATTGTTAAGAATTAATAAGTGATAAGTTTTATAGTTAAATCGAGCAAATATGTTTTAAGAAAGTGTCAATTTTGTGACTCCCGTAATTAAGTTCACACAATTGAGGCATTGAACGTAATTCCGTGAGTGTCACGCAATTAGGAAAAGTAGACGTGAATTATTTTAGTCTTTTATTCTCAATTATGCTTAAATTTAGTGGTGTTTTTGGTGTTACTAAGTTTGGTAATGACCACAGAATATTGTGACCTAATTACGGTATATGTTTTTTTTTCATTTTTAACCCTAATAATTGAGTTTGAAATTACTACTCTTTAGCAAGAAAATATGATTTTTTTACTTATTTCCATTATTCCCATATGCATAAAATATGGTAGTAATGAGAGAATCAGATGTTTCTTTTATTTCATCTACGATAAATCATTTGTGTAATGTCAAAGCTTATAGAAATAGGGGAAAACCCGTAGTGCACTTGTTTTCTATCAATGACGCACGATATTTATAGAGCACGAATCACTAGTGTGCGGGTATGTGTGTATGTAAGCAGCGAATTAGGGACATATTCGCAAATACGGTAGTTAAATACGGTGTAAATGTATGCTTCGAGCGCTATCACGTAATAGTGTACAACGACTCCCGGCATTAAGTTCATGAACCGAATTTTATCACGGAATTAGAGACAAACGCGTGGTTCACCAAAATGCCGATCATTTCTATAAGTGACGTTCTACGACAAAAAATCTCAAAGGTCTAATTAATAAAATATAACAGATTTAGTTCGTCCAATTTCCTATTTTCTCTAAAATTCGTCTTTAAAGTCAATCGTTTCTTAACATCCCGTAATGGTACGTTTACCTATACTACGGTTATCGGTCAACTTATTGAATTTAAAATTTGAATATTGCGCAATGTAATTGTAATTATAATAATGTTGTAATTGTAATTGTATTTTTTATGTGTATTTGCGTTTATCTGTAACTTTTTCGCGGTAAATAGGTATTTCTAAGTTAAGAAGTATTTATTTTGTCGAAAATATAAGTGATTCTTTTTAATAGTATTTGGATATGAAATTTTAATGTGATAATCTAGGTTAATTTCTGAAATCTATTAGTTTAGTTGCGATTTGTGTCGACACGTCTGTTATAATTATTACCTAATATTTGTTAACATGCAAAAAATATATAGATTATCGAATTTAAAGTTACTTAACTTATTTAAACTTATTGAACTTATATTTATTTAACCTACTTAAGTTTATAATATTACAAAAATGCTAAAAGTATTATTTTATTTTAAAATCAGATTTAATTTATTTGTTGTGTGTGATCGTTCTTTTTTTTCTGGATATAATATTACAAAAAATGTAATTAATTTTATTTTAAAACTAGATGACCCGAAAGACTTGTTTTCTTTGTACCCATGTATACAATTTTTTAATATAATATACTAATATTTACCGCTTATCTAAAAATAATAATTAGTATTACCTAAAAATAATAATTACTTTTCACGCCAAAATGCATATATGTACATTTTAATATGAGCAATGTTAAATGTAGAACTATTAAATAAAATGATTATTAGTCTCAATTCTCACACTATATTGGAAATTGAAGTCTTGCAAACGGTATAACATAAACATATCCATAACATAACACTGTTACTTTATGTAGATTAATTTAATTAATTTTTTTATTATTCAAGATATTCAAAATTGTATCTTAAACTTCTCCTAATCGATATCGTGAGGGCCGAATTGTATGTATTCATATTTACTTTCCCATTTGTTGTTATAAAGTGAAAATTTTACGAATTTTAAAAATATTGTGGAAAGATTAGTAAAGGATGCAAAGAAATTATATATTGAAAAAAAAACTATATGAAAATTTAATATCCGAATCTTGTGTTGGCACCCTCTAAGGCATGCACTCGTATTTTTGCTTTGCATTAAAGGTAGGACCGGCCCTGATTAATAAATAATTTCATATTTAAAGTGAATTAATTTGTTCATATTTGTTCATATATTATCATTGAATCTGCCATGCATATACTGTATTTTTT